TGGACTTCCTCAATCCCTCTGGCCAACAGCTCTACGCCATGCTGCAGAAGGCCGTGTGCGCCTACAACTTGAAAGATTGGGCCTGCCGAGCCCACCAATGCTTCGCTATGGAGCTTCAGTTTTGGTTAAGTCCAAACGCTGGCATCGCGCTGGACAACTTTCCATGCCCTACCGCACCATGCAGCTCCTGGGACCATGCCCATACATGTCTCATGGTTGGATTGCCCGCGACAAGAAGGGGCAGCTGCTGCATGTGAGGACGGCTTTGGAACCTTCGCCGGTTGCTGACCAGGCGATCATGGATTTGCAGGAGGTGCCATCAATCAAGCACCGCATTGTGGGGAAACATCCACCACCTCTACCTGACCATCCTCTTGCTGGAGCCGTGGGTGCCTTGTATGATAAGTCTGACCCAGCTCTTGCTGCATGCCGAGCTGGGGGGGAGGATCCTTTGCCCTTTTTGGACGAGGTTGGCTGCTCCTTGGCACTTCAAGTTGAGGATGAAGGGGAGTCGGAGGAGGTTGTTGGAGGCTCCACGCCCAAGACTCATGATCAAGGTGATCAATGTCAACACCCTGACCTTCCGGGGGAGCTGGAAGATCCTATGTGCTGCTCACGACAACAGGCAGAGCAGTGGCATGAACTTGAACAACAACGTCACTGGGCTTTGAAGCAGCTCTGGTGTCAAGGTCTTCGAGAAGTTGCAGTTGGTGAGGACGCTGGGAGTGTTCATGGCAGCTGGCTTCGTGAAGTTGAATTGCTGCTCCGAGGTGCTGAAGATCAATTGTCGTTTCAGCATTCCTCCTTGCAGAACTACAAGATGGCTTCACTGGCTCCAATGGCTGGTTCAACTGAGGTCCCAGTCACGGTGCTCCAGACCTACACGGTCTCACTACAGCAGGTCCGCAAGGAGTTGGAAAAATGGAAGCCTCCCTTGCGTGATGAATATGGTCAACTGGTCTCATCGACCCAGGCAATCAAGCCAACTATCAGAACCGGAGTGGGCATCGTCAGAAAAGTCCCTTAAGTTTTGCGGCTTCGAGATTAAGTGCCGCCCAGGTAAGGTCATCCTGAACCAGACCTCCTACACCCGAGATCTCCTTGCACGCCACGAAGGCATCAAGTCGAGACAAACTCCTTTGCCCCTCGGCGTACAAGATGAACTGGAGGAAAACATCTCCATTGAACAGGTCCGCAAAGCCCAGGCCCTCGTTGGTGAATTGCTTTGGCTCAGCGGGCGAACCAGGCCTGACCTCAGCTATGGAGTCTCCATCATGGGCCGCTTGGTGACGAAGGCTCCGGGAAAAGTTTTGGAATGGGGGGCTCACACGCTTGGATATTTGCACTCCACCGTGGACTATGAGCTGTGTTACACCCAACAGGTGTTTGAGGCTCCATCCATTGAGTCCGAGGCGACCAAGCTCCCCAGTGTTCGGGTTTTTTCGGATGCTTCTCACGGTCCCCAAGGTGGAAGAGGTCAACAGGGGTTGCTGGTCACTTACAATGGAGCCCCGGTTCAATGGGAAAGTCGGCAGCAGCCGTTCGCCACCCTCTCCAGCGCTGAATCGGAGCTGATGGGCTATGTTGATGGAGTGGTGATGGGCGAGTCGGTGGCGGCCATCGTGAACGTTTTGGAGGACCACAAGCTGCACCTTGAAGGAGAGCAGGTCCTTTGCGGTGATTCGCAAACTGGGCTGAAGATTTTGGTTGCGCCGGACGGACCATGGCGCACGAGGCATCTGAGGCTGAGAGCCTATGTGGTGAAGGAGCGCATCCAGCAGCAGTGTTGGCGCACCTTGCATGTTCCTGGCACTGAACTGCCATCGGATTTGCTGACGAAGCCGATCGTGAAACCGGCTTCATGGCAGAAGTTTTTCCATTTTTTAGGAGCACGTGTGTCTTCAGGGATTGGGCAGAAAGATGAACACCAGTCAGTTTGTTCTAGGCTCCAGGCGGTTGTAGCTGGAATATTAGGAATGGCTGTTTGGAATCCAATCCATGAAGCACACAAGATTGCACGCTGTTTGACCATCACAGCACTTGCAGCATACCTGGCCTCGAAAGCACAGGACCTCAAGAAGATCATTGGACACCTTCCGGCAGAATCCCAGGCTGAGGCGCCACGGGGACGGGATTCGGTCGAAACAAGATCGGTGAGGGAAGATGAACCCACCGAACTAGGAGGGGAAGAAAACACAAGATCGGTGAGGGAAAATGAACCCACCGCTGGGTTGGGAGGGCGGGCGGGCGACATTAGCCTAAAAGGCTCCCGTGCGGCCGCGTTCGAACCTCGCAGCCATGGATGTGGTGTGCGCCTTGCTGCCATGCGCGCTGGGCCCAGCACTGAGTCCGGCACATGGACGGTGGCTGGACCTCATGAGTGGCCGCAATTCCGACTTCCTCCACAAGGACGAGATCGATGGGGGCGGCTGCGCGATGGCTGGTGGGTTCGACATCATGTCAAACCAAGAAAAAGGCCATTCCATCCTGTACATCGGCAGACGCCATTCGACGCGGCTCAAATTCGCAGTGGTCGGGTTACTGTGGTATGGCTGCATGGCGAGAAGTCGGTGGTGGAGGATGACTGGCGCAACGGCACCAGGCCTATGGTTCCGACAGAGGAGCAGTGGGTGGGCTACAGCTTTTTTCCCTCAACCTCCTCTGCCCGAGAATTCAACCCTGGATTCACAGACGAGCTCTTCAACTCCTGCTGGCCAGACGACGGGAAGCTCCTCGACACCGACGCCACCTGGACAGTCGCTTTCGACCTCGCAGGTCAGTGCGTCATCGGGGCCTCCGCCGGTTCGACCAGAAGAGGAACTACTGAGAGGAATCAGGAGGGTTCGAAGAGGCTCAACAGATAGCTCTACAGGGACACCAACGAGCACCTTGTCCTCGACGATGACGGCATCGACTCGCGGCATGGATGCTATGGAAGCACCTCTCACTCTCGGCTACCTTGGCCGAATGAGGGGACAGGAGAATCGAGGAGAGAGGCCTGCGCCAGCCAACATGCAGGTTCCTCTTGAGGAAGAGCGGTCGGATTGGATCCTCTCGCTCCACTCCGAAGGTTTGCTGCTTGCCCGGCATCCTAATTTGCCGGATGAAGCGACGCCTCAATGGTTGGGCATTCAAATGCCTGTGGCTCGAAGCTCGCGCCCTGCCGGCGCTGGACGACCAAGTGAGGCCTCCAGGCCCGCGGCTCGAAGTGAGGGCACCAGCCCCGCGGCTGGAAGTGAGGGCACCAGACCCGCTGCTAGAAGTAGCCAGGGTCCCATGCCCATCAATGAAGAGTGGGATTCTGATGGAAGCTATGAGCTTCTGACGAACTAGGCTGACCCAAAAGGTCTTTTGGCCAATGGAATGCGGTGGCGCACCGCAGGGGGAGTGTGGGACAAACACCATGCACCTCATGAGCATTTTCGCTTTTCGATCGAGCATTTCGATTCGAGCTGTGTTGATGAACTTCGCCAACCAAACGGTTTGGCTCAAGCTGAGCAGGTGGAAAAAGGACCGCTTGCATTGCACCCCAACTCATACCTCCTTAGATTGAAATGTCATGGTGGGGATCACTCGAAGTAAAGTAATTTGTTTTTCTGGCTTCCCAGCCTTATGTTCCAACAGTCGCTTTACTGGCTCCCCAGCCCAGTCTTCGGGGAGCAGCAAAAAAGCTGCACGGCGACAGCTGGGAAGCTTGGCAGCTGGGAAGCCAGGTGAAAAAGAGCGAAGTGAAAACGCAGTTGAAAGATGCCCGTCATCAAGCATGCCTTGCCAAGCAGATTCTTCATATTTCCATGGACTGGCTGGCGTGGTGCAGGTCTCCCAAGTCACATACCGCTTCTTTGACTTAACCATGTTATGATCCCAAAGTGGCTCCTGGTGGTAGAAAAGCGCCCAATCGTCATGTGCATCGTGCGTTTAGAAAGAATCACTTTTTTAAATTCTGAATGCAATCGCTGGACGTGGTCTGGCGTTTCGCGTCGCAGCGCGGTTTGGCGACTTCACAGTGGTCTGCCGCGTGGTCTGCCGCTGCTTTTCGGAGTGGCAATTGAATATCCAGAAGTGCGGTGCGTTGCGGAGTGGCACGGTGCTGAGGAAACAAGTCAATCTGCACCAGAACCCATCCAATCAGTATATAGATAACTTCAACCATGAGTGGATGACTCCGCTGAAATGCAGTTGGCAGAAAGTTTGGTAAACCGATATTTTCCATGAAAACTGGACTTGATGGTTTTGGCCAGCCTGCTATTGAGAGCCGTCCGAGTGGCACATCGCGTCAGCCTGGGCCTCTGGTCACCTACTTGGGCCGGTGCGTATTGGACCTGTGGGTCCCCCCAAGCCAAGCTGCCAAGCTGGAACTCAGCTTGGTGGTTCACTATCCATGCGCTGGCTTTGATTCATCTAATGCAATGACCCAAAACCTCGCAACAAATCACAACCATTTTTGCTGAGTGCCCCATTTTGCCACCATGCGGCGAAACCTTCAACAGGGAGCAAGTAGGGATCACCGGGAAAGGCTCCATCATTGAAGCATTGACCCTCTCTCCAACAAATATGGAAGTGCAAAACCACCTGGTTGTAAAGGAAATGGTCTTTCCAAGTGCCATTGTCCGCTTCATGGTTGTTTCAGGGAGGGTATCCTGAACATCCGCTCGGCCTATGTTGGAAAGCTCTTTCATTTCTTTTTGGCGAGCAGGATGAGGATGCAAATGCCACAACGTGGCTATAGTCGATGACCACCGTCCACAAGTAACCAGTAGAAGTTCATAGACAGGCAAGTTCCAACCGAAGAACCCAATTTTTCTCACCACCTTTGTTTCTCAACACCTCTGTAGTTTTCATGTTTGAGTGTAAACATGACATCCCCCCTCATGAGCATATCTTGTTGCACTTCACCCAACGCCATGCGTTTGTGTTTCAAAGTTTCCTGCACCGAAAACGACTCCACAGTGGTGATTCGCCCTGCCGCATTGGCGCCTGTTGCCTCGGCAAGTCAACAGGCGGCGCGGGCACGAGATCTATCCCGAGGCCATGTGGAGAGGTCGATCGTTTGATTCGCAAGGGAGGAAGAGGTGGATGGCGGGAGTGTTTGATGGACTCTTCTGACTGAGAACCACTCCTAAGAGGCTCCGAGTAATCTGCGTGTAATACAGGTGAAGTGGATCATGTGTAGGAAGAGTTTTTTCTTTGTGGTTGGGAGAAGAATAAAAGATAGACAGGGTCAAACGCCCTTTGTTGAAGATCTAACTCCCCTACCGGAGCATTACTACCCTCCTCTGTGTGTGTTTGCAAAAGTTGAGGGGGAAGGCTCGCCCGTCTTGCTGCAATGGTTGCTACTTGTAGGATGGAAGGAGTCACAACCTTTGGTCACCAAGCTGCTGGTCAACCATCACGCGGGACAAACAACGTAAAAAGTGCTGCCTTCTCCAGCGTCTTGGTGCTTTCGCATCGGATTCTTTCTTTGGAGTGTATGATGCGAGCCCAGACTTGTCAGCAAGGTCCACACAAGGCATCTCCAATGATCCTGACTAGAGACCCCAAACAATGTTCAGAAGATCATGATGCTGAGTTAGAAGATGATTTTGTTGTCCTAATGGTGGTGGCAGTCGTAGTGCTGGTAGCGTTAGTGGTGTAGTCGTAGTTGTAATGGTAGCCGTAGTAGCAGTAGTCGTCGTCGTTGTCGCTGTGGCAACAAACAGTCGCCGTCGCTATCGTGGTGGTGGTGGTGGTCGTTGTCGTCGACGTCGTAGCAGTAGCAGTAGCCGTAGCAGTAGCAGTAGCAGCAGCAGCAGCAGGACCAGGAGTAGGAGTAGAGAGTAGAGAGTAGGAGTAGGAGTAGGGGTGGTCCAACGCCTGGCCACCAACAAATGAAACTGTGTCTCTGCCGACCGTGCCATATGCCAGTACCAGTACTGGTAGTGGTGGTGGTAGTGGTGGTGGTCGTAGTAGTAGTAGTAGTAGTAGTAGTAGTAGTAGTAGTAGTAGTAGGTTTAGGTAGTAGTACTGCTACGAGTTGAGGGCAAGTGCCGGGGATCTAGCATTGAAAGGGGACCAAGTGTTCGGGGAGTCGCAAAAGATCCGTGCGGTCGGCCATGTACCCAGGGGTATGGACTCCGACCCTGCTCAAGTACTACAGGCAGGCCTTGACAAAGAAGATGAATGGACCCATGAGCCGCGAGGCATGGACCCCGAGCACCATCGGGGACCAGCTGCTGAGAGGATCCGTTCCAGGAGCTTTGGATACATTGGTGCAACGCATCAAATCCCTGGAGGCTCAAGGTTCGGGGTTGGCCTGGTCTTCGGCGCAAAGGTTGGAGCTGCTACCGCCGGACGGTGCGACTCTGTCATCCCGCCATGGCTGTCCATCGCCGCGGCCGAACAACGAGCAGAGGTCAAAAGCTCAGTGGTAGTGGTAGTTTAGTAGTAGTAGTAGTAGTAGTAGTAGTAGTAGTAGTAGTAGTTAGTAGTAGTTAGTAGTAGTTAGTAGTAGTTAGTAGTAG